TGCGTCTTTCCTTCTTCCGTTTATTTTATGCGTTTAACAGTTGTCACAACAGCGTATCTCCATGACCTCTCTCGCTCTTTTCTCACGCCCTCTCTTTCTCTCTCTTTCTCCCTCTTTCTCCCTCTTTCTCCCTCACTGACTCATTCGCTCATTGTTGTTACATAATCCAAGATGGTTGGGTTGTCAACCAAAGCCAATCATTTTCATTGAATCTCGAACTAGTTATACATATTATAGTAGGTTGTAGTCGTATCCGACAGTAAAGACATGCATGAAATACCAGTGTTCACGGCATGCAAATCAAGGATTAATGCCAGTTTCAAATTCGGGACCAGGTGTTAAGGGGACAATCAATTATGCCAGTAATTATACAAATAAATTAAGATAAGAAATTTATGTCTTGCCCAAACCAAAACAACTGACATATGCCATAAGACCATGACAATCAGCTGATGTTAACTGTGCCATATATGGAAAGCCTTGATGATAACTTAATGATTACATTCAAGTGCTCCCTCCTACCCCCTCCCCCCTTTTTAAAAAAATTTTTTTTAAAAAAAACAACAACAACAGGCGTTCACTTAATATTCCTCAAATTTTAAGTAGGAAAGTCGAGCTTTAACAACTGACATTTGCCATAAGACCATTACAATCAGCTGATGTTAAATGTGCCCTAAATGGAAAGCCTTGATGATAACTTAATGATTACATTCCAGTTCTCCCCCCTACCCCCCCCCCCCCTTTTTAAAAAAATTTTTTTTAAAAAAAACAACAACAACAGGCGTTCACTTAATATTCCTCAAATTTTAAGTAGGAAAGTCGAGCTTTTAAATGTCCACGGGTCAGGCCAATAATTAAGCAAATGTAAACTTTTAAAAAAAAATGATTCAACACACAAATTTTATATCAACTAGTCAATTAGCAGCATTTGGAACAGACAAAAAATCATCGGACACCACATTGAGTGCACAGTGTCAGCTCACAACATTGAGTGCACAGTGTCAGCTCACAACATTGAGTGCACAGTGTCAGCTCACAACATTGAGTGCACAGTGTCAGCTCACAACATTGAGTGCACAGTGTCAGCTCAGTGGAGTTTTGTTTTTTCTGATTGCCTTCAATAAAACCTGAACTAAATGAGTGTTTGTGCCTTGTTCATGTCACACTTTTGTGTACCTGGAATGTAAACAAAAGATGGTTGTTAGCAAAATTTTTTTTTTTTTAAATCGTAACAGGGGTTTATGCCTGGAGGCTGGAGGTTCACCTCTTCTGAGCTCACTGGTTTTTTTTTTAATGTTTTTTTTAAAAGTTTTTTTTTAAAGAACATATAAAAATGTCAAAACTGCCTCTGTAATTTATTTCTAAGTTCACTGGAGAAAAAAAGGTATCACTCTTCCGACAATGACGAAATAATACAGCAATATTTATGTTTGTGTTCTATGTACAATGATATTTCTATATTTTTATTTATTGCTGTGTGATTTACTTTTGTAAACATCATGCGTGGCCTTATGATCTATGCGATATGAACACCATCATAGGAGTGATTTAATATGTGACATAGTGTTGTATAGATTACATCTGTTGTAACTCGTGAAGACAACATTCAGGGAGTGAGGTGGCTCAATAGCATCACTGGATGGGTTGCCGTGGGAGAGGGGGGGGGAGTGTCACAACAAGTCACACCAAGAATTATTGCACTATGTGACTCAACGACCCCTCGTGACACCACTACTAGCTTTAATTGGGGGGGGGGCGTGCAGACGGCACTTGGTAACTCTAAACCAAGTGAGACTGCTGCGGCGGGGGGCAACCCATCCATCAGAAACATCACAACTCATTGATCGTGAAGTGAGAGGTCCATGAGAGAGTCTAGTGATGTGAGAATCCCTGGTGTTAATTCGTGAGGCTATATCATTAAAAGCCCCCCCTCAATCTATGCATCTTTTTCTCTCTCTCTCTCTCTCTCTCTGTCCCCAGGCTGAAGGGGTTGTTGTTTTTTTTTTGTTTTTGGTTGAGTGATGCCCGAACTTTATTTTTTACTTCTTTCTTGTACTAAAAAGTTTTGTTTTTTTGTTAAATTAATGATAAATTTAATTAATATTTCAACATTGCATAGACCTTATTCTCTGTCATCCTACTTGACTTTTTACTGTTTAAACTATTTTATTTTCAAACCATAATATTGTAAATGATATTAAATTTTCTTTCTTCCGCTGTAAATCAAATTCTAAAATCTAAAATTGTGATAACTTTCACTCTACAATTCTGTCTATTTAAAAAAAAAACAAAAAAAAACGTGTTCATGAAGCTTGACTTTTGGAATGCTTTGTCTTTCAGCTTTCATCAAACCAACATAAGCAAATCATTTGTGGTCAACATTTCGGTTGACTTTGAGTTTCGGCAAAGAAAAAATGTTGTTGCCATGAAATAACCCTATAAAGCCACCCAGGAGTGACCGCCCCTTAAACTTAATCTGGTCTGATACGAGTCATTGTGTACAGTGTCTTAGCAAAGGCAAGCACCACCCAGGTCGAATTTTGCCGCCCCCTCCCACAACAAAAAAACCAAACTCCACAGTTGGCCGATAATGCCACCCCTCCATGTCAAGAAAAAATGTGTCGCCCGGGGTGGACCGCCCTCCCCTCCCCCTTACCTACGCCACTGATTGTGTGTGGTTGCAGTACAACGAAATTATCGGACGATATCCACCAAAATTAGCCTATTCCCGGGGGCCCGGGGGGGAAGTGACGTCACTAAAACACCAGACAGCTGAGTAAGTTTAATTAAATCGTCTAATGGGGGCAAACTCCAATTTAAACTGAAGTGGATATGATCGGCTATTTATATATATATATACAAAGTGGCACTGGAAATCTGTGAAATTTCCTCATCAACACCAGGAACAGAAACATTGCAAATCCCATCTACATGCATAGGAGCCAAAATGATCAATTAATTGATCGTGGGCCCTTCAGATATAGAAGAAGATATATATATATATATATTCGTTCTAAAAAGTCAGCTTCAACACTAAAATGTGTTCCCATCAATGAGCAACTCAACAGCTTAGTGACTGTGCAACCTAAGTACTAATAAACAGCTTAGTAACCGTGCAACCTAAGTACTAATAAACGGCGTCCAGTGCTTCAGTTTTTAAGTAGCCTATCCTATTTTCGGAACCTTATCTGTCTTGTTCATATTTGACTCATCTGCTTCTTCATGTCATGGCAATTTGTAAACAAGGACATTTTAACGTTATGTTTTGTTCCAACGGCTTATTTATCTTTTTTTTTGTGTATATTCCATCTTTTCAAATAAAGTCATAAACTATGATAAACTCGATTGTATTTTTGTGTTTCGTTGACTATCATTTGTAAGACTATGTTGTTCGTTGGGAAGCTGTCTGAAAGAGAGCAAAAAATGTTTGGAAGAGCTCAGGCAATTTCAAGATTCTTTTCCAGAAAAATGAGAGTCATCAAACAACACACATTAGCTTACCCTTTAGGGTTCATGAAAGATTAATTCGATTCCCTTGGAAAGCCCCAGAATTAAATGAGGGATATCACACATTTTGTGGATAGATGTTCCAAGTAACTTTGACAATTTTATATTTGGTCCACTTGAATCGCCATGTTCAGCGTAACAGGTCGGTGGAAAAAAAAATAATTCATTGTCAGAAAGGTTAGAACATTAATTAATTGTGCTGCTACATGGAAGACGGGCGGCAAAAGCTTGGCCCACCCAGAGCGGCACTCTCCTAGTTACGCCACTACGTGAGAATGGTACATACTTTCTTTCTCGTAAAAAATCATTGGTCAAATAATAAAAAATAATAACTACTTCTTAACCATCTTTCCTGCTAACAAAAATGACAGACTATTATCAGATACAATGACAGAACACGCGGAAATAACGTCGCCTGTTGAAATGTCTGATCTTGGGAAGCAAAGCCAAACCACACATTTCAATGATCTTTAATGACATTAAGGTCCGTCCATAGATGACGTCTCAATATTTTGGCCAAATTTGGATCCCCCACCCCCTTATTTCACCATCATGACCATTTTGTCACACAATATATGCATCCTCGAAATAGTTCGTCATAACATTGTATACCCCCCTCCCCACACACACACACACCCGATGCATGAAAGCATGACGTCATTATGGATGACCACCCTAAAAGATTTACAAGATGGGATTACCGATACCTTCTTTGTTACAATAGAAAGCACTCGGTATATTTATATTTATAGCACGTTATTTTTGGACAATTCCGGGCGAAAGGTTTCCGACACCTGTTATAGAGAACAATAAAATCAACTATTCATAGTCTGCTACCCGCAGAACCGTGGCGTGGGCACTGTAACCCTTGTGGCTCGGCGGGTAAGGGGAGGGGGGGACTCAGAAATTTAAGGGGGGCAAAAATTCAGTACAACACCAAAAAGTGGCAGGGTGCTTCCAAAGTCACGCGACGCCCCTACTACCGTTTACACTACCTGGGCTCGGACATGTTGAAAAGTAGTGACTGTAAGTGTGTGGGCTTTTGAGTAGTTAAAGCCTTTTAAAAAGAATGACTTTAAAAAAAAATAAAGCGAACGTTAAAAGTGGCAAAAGTAATAATTTTGAAATTTAAAAGTCTATGGATTTTCTATCGCCCTGAAAGGGTTTTCACACCTCAAACAGGTGCGGTCATAACAAAGGGAGATAACACAAATAATAATTTAAAACCCCGGTAATTAACTGTAGTTACCTTTGCTTAAAGTTGATATTTTGTTTTCTTTCAGAAGAATTAACATGCGTCAATACTTAAAATATTACAGTTTATTTCATAGTCTGATTATAATGACTTAAAGACCCAACTAATAGTTTAATCACGGTCAAGTCTGACTAAACCTCGAATATTGATAATAAACTGTAAATATACAAACAAATGCCATAAATAGAGCTAGCAAATAGGAAACTCCCACAAAGTGCCGTGTGCAAAAAAGTTAAGCCCTTCCCATCGATGTGCTTAGGATTCACAAGTTCAGCTCTTCTCGGGTCGAGGGCTGGGTTACCCTCAAACAACTTCGTGTATGTGATTAGGTTTGGTGTTCCTCTTGTTTTTAAACTCATAATACGATTCGACACAGTTTAACCATGTCTGTTTTAACTTTGGAGGCGAAACTTGAAAGAACCGATAGTGCCACCCCTTGGGGATTTCGTATGCAAGGAGGCAAGGATTTTAGTAGTCCACTCACTATTCAAAAAGTAAGTTGTTTACATTTTTAACGACGTTACAAGTTTCAGGCCTGATAATTTATTCATTGGGTCAAAAACTGTTCGTCATCACCGTTGCTGTTAATTGAAACACGGGTACCAGAACCGTCTGGCTTCCTTTATTTCCATGCTACATTGAAATAACTAACAAAATGAAACATGTATCGTTAGGTAATGTCTGTTCCCACTGCAACTACACGGCTTGCACACACGCCTCACTGACCGCGAACGTTACCTTCATCGCTACACTCTACATTCTAATTCTAATGTTCAACACCCGCCGCCTCACTAGACTTATTCAGTTTTGTCGAGACAGCGAATTCCTTGCCACCAGGTATCGTCAACAGGTACTCAAATCGGTACCCCAAAAATCAATGCTTGATCTTGTGTCGGACGAGGATCGATAAATCGTAGAATAGAATAGATGGCTTATTAATTTTAACTGGTAGTTGTGGTCTGACTTGGACTCTTTCGTACTTTTAGTCTTAGGGCTTGGCTTAGGGTTCAGACAAGGAAGCTGACTGTAACTCACTTAAAGTTGAAGTGTGAAAGTGAAGGCAAGGCTGTACACTGTACTGTAAGGCTAGGCTGTACTGTAAGGCTACAGTTGATGGAATGAGGAATGCAACTGTGTAAACTTGGGGTGTGTGTGTGTTTGTTATATAAATATAGGAAATTACACACGCTATTTGATACTTTCACCTGTCGTAGTGTGTAGGCCTAAATAATTTGAATTCATTGCCAGTAAGTTCAGTAAGATTATAACATCATTCATTGATACCCGGTTAAAACAACATACATAGTCATTATCATTATGATAATGTAAAACAGAAATGGACTGGCAAGGGGGAGGAGTGACCGTGAGCTGGTGTGAGTGTTGGGGGGGGGGGGGGAAACAATTTCTCAAAAAATGTCAGTGTAACATCTTTGTGTCACCCATTCATTATGATTCATCATTGGTTATAGAATTTCCACCAATGCCGTCATTTTATGTGTATGTGACAAGGGGAGGTGAGGGGGGTAGGTTGTTTTTCTTATTTTGTTTTTAATGATTGAGGAATAAATATGATTGAATTGATTGTTGGTAGGCTGGCCAAATTGTTTTTTTACAATTTATTTATGTGTTGGAAAATCATTTTTTATTCAGAAATTGCTGATTAAAAATAATATTGTTGGTTCTTAAAAAAAAAGGGTGGGGTGGAGTGGTTGGTGGGTTGTGAGTGTGGGAGTGGGTTGTGAGTGTGGGAGTGGTTGGTGGGTTGTGAGTGTGGGAGTGGGTTGTGAGTGTGGTAGTGGTTGTGGGTTGTGAGTGTGCTGTAATATTGATATTTCTGGAATGCCTCTCTATTTCAATTAAAAAATTGACAACAGCTGTCCTTTTTATGCCAAACTGATGTTAAACCATGGTAACAGTTATAGTTCTTTATCAGAACAACAGCTTTTGTTTCCTGAAACCCTGCAATTTCTCAGAAATGTTCCACCATTGAATCATGACTCATAATTAAAGTTTTGATCAGTCTATTCAATGATGGCTTAGCAAGAATCATTAAGTCCTGCGCTAGAAATATCATTTAATGTACTCTGAAATTTCCTTAATGACTAGAAATGCCATTTTCTGAAGTCAGGATCAAATAAGAGGGGGGTGGGGGAGGGGAGGAAAAATCAATGATTCATGTATTGATTGTATGGTATCTGATCAGCAGTGCTGAGGTTACAGTATGCCCACTGAAATATAAAATGTAATAAAATGTTACAAAATGATCTAATAAATCAGGAGTCCTCAACATGGTAACAAAGGGGAGAGACTGCAATCAGTTTAGAAAAAAAAGGAAATGAGCAAAATTAATTATGGGAATATTCCCCTTGTCCTCTCGGATACTACCTTACAGCTAAGTGTTATTTTTAAAATTTTAATTCTGTTGTTTGTTCGCTGATGAAGGCCTCTTGCCGACACATTCCTTGTTTTGTTGCAACCTTTTTTTTTCCAGGTTTTCCCTTACTTTATTTTGCATATTTCTAACTTTTAGCATGAACGACCTCACTTTGAAAAATTGAACTTTATACTTTACAATTAAAATCTTAAGCTTTGAATTTATTGACTTCATTGGGTACACACTCTCAGAGAACAACAAAATTAGGGAACCTTGTAATAAAATATCATTGTAGATTATAAGCAATGTAAATAATTTCACTTTTGAATAGTCACTATTTATGTATGTATTGGCTTTCTTCCACACAAGACAAGTCTTTAAATTGGTTTCTAGATTAAAAAAAATTCAACCAGGCTGAGGCTCCTATCATCAATGATAATTAATATGTATCAAATTGAAACAAGAGGATTGACCAGTCTTGCATTTGACGGCCCTAACTTTTAAAGATAAGAGGATGCTATAAAACTCTTTCAAACTGCTCACTGTGTGTTCTTCAGGGAGAACTCCTAGAAGAATGTCATCTATATTTAGACACTGGCACAGGTAAAATGCTGAGCCTGGTGAAACAAGCCATTGCTTCAATGCCTCTTACTGTTGCAATAGTGTGGGGGATGCTCTGCTGTGTGAGGTGGGGGAGAAGGGGCAAAAGAAAGAGGATGCTGTGTCTTTTTTAATATTTTTTTTTGGTGAGCTCAGCATTTGGCAAACAGTTCAATGTATGCCTAGATTTTAGATAGTAACTAACTTATGCACTTGATCATATTTATTTAATGTATTTCTGATCATGTTAATGTGTTTAATTAAGACACTACACATTATAATATCAAGTGATAACTCATACACTTGTATAAAATACTCAAAAGATTGGTAATAGTGTAGCTATCAGAAGTTCTCAGATTGGACACTAGTTAGTAGAGGTAATAGTGTAGCTATCAGAAGTTCTCAGGTTGGACACTAGTTAGTAGTGGTAATAGTGTAGCTATCAGAAGTTCTCAGGTTGGACACTAGTTAGTAGTGGTAATAGTGTAGCTATCAGAAGTTCTTAGATTGGACACTAGTTAGTAGTGGTAATAGTGTAGCTATCAGAAGTTCTCAGATTGGACACTAGTTAGTAGTGGTAATAGTGTAGCTATCAGAAGTTCTTAGATTGGACACTAGTTAGTAGTGGTAATAGTGTAGCTATCAGAAGTTCTCAGGTTGGACACTAGTTAGTAGAGGTAATAGTGTAGCTATCAGAAGTTCTTAGATTGGACACTAGTTAGTAGAGGTAATAGTGTAGCTATCAGAAGTTCTCAGGTTGGACACTAGTTAGTAGTGGTAATAGTGTAGCTATCAGAAGTTCTCAGGTTGGACACTAGTTAGTAGTGGTAATAGTGTAGCTATCAGAAGTTCTTAGATTGGACACTAGTTAGTAGTGGTAATAGTGTAGCTATCAGAAGTTCTTAGATTGGACACTAGTTAGTAGTGGTAATAGTGTAGCTATCAGAAGTTCTTAGATTGGACACTAGTTAGTAGTGGTAATAGTGTAGCTATCAGAAGTTCTTAGATTGGACATTAGTTAGTAGTGGTAATAGTGTAGCTATCAGAAGTTCTCAGATTGGACACTAGTTAGTAGTGGTAATAGTGTAGCTATCAGAAGTTCTCAGATTGGACACTAGTTAGTAGTGGTAATAGTGTAGCTATCAGAAGTTCTTAGATTGGACACTAGTTAGTAGTGGTAATAGTGTAGCTATCAGAAGTTCTCAGATTGGACATTAGTTAGTAGTGGTAATAGTGTAGCTATCAGAAGTTCTTAGATTGGACATTAGTTAGTAGTGGTAATAGTGTAGCTATCAGAAGTTCTTAGATTGGACATTAGTTAGTAGTGGTAATAGTGTAGCTATCAGAAGTTCTTAGATTGGACACTAGTTAGTAGTGGTAATAGTGTAGCTATCAGAAGTTCTTAGATTGGACATTAGTTAGTAGTGGTAATAGTGTAGCTATCAGAAGTTCTTAGATTGGACACTAGTTAGTAGTGGTAATAGTGTAGCTATCAGAAGTTCTTAGATTGGACACTAGTTAGTAGTGGTAATAGTGTAGCTATCAGAAGTTCTCAGATTGGACATTAGTAGTGGTCATAAAGTTTAATACCTTTTTTTTTCTCTGGTTGGGGATGGGGGGAAGCCCTATTCAATGCAAAAAAACTCTTGATTGACTTGACAAAAGAATAGAAGTTCTTTGCCTCATTGAAGGGGAAATCCTGTTTGTTTGTCTTATTGTACAACCATGCTTTGTAGGCCTACTTAGAATTGAGTATCATCTAATCAGCCCATAGTACTGACACTGTTACAAAATTAGTTCACATGGGTATCAACTGAATATTTCTGTCATGAAATAATTGTAAATAAATGCATGTGTCGTTAAGTTATTGTGACTAAAGGTACACAAGTTATTGTGACTAAAGGTACACAAGTTATTGTGACTAAAAGTACACAAGTTATTGTGACTAAAGGTTCACAAGTTATTGTGACTAAAGGTTCACAAGTTATTGTGACTAAAGGTTCACAAGTTATTGTGACTAAAGGTACACAACTGGGGATTTGAACACTTGTGATGTGCTGGTGTAAGATAATAATGACCTTTGAACTTTATTTTGGCCGCTCACTCATGTTTCCTTTAAGGGAATCATACCTCCTTTGATTATCATTGAAATGTTTCACCCAATAAGAAGAGTTAGTTATCTAGCTACAATTTGATCTTTGAACCCTCTCAACTGTTGGTATTTTAGTATTGCACTGTCTAGCCATGTCACGTCGGTCTCACCCCCCCCCTCCTTTTTTTTTTCCCCTCTCCATTCGTCTCCAATGCACTTGAGTCAAACACATTTTGGAACATTGAAACAATAGCTGGCAGACGTGTTTGGTCAAGAGGAAAGTTTGATTTCATGCCCGTGTAAATATTGACATAATGAGATTAGAGTTTTCCCCCAAACCGCTGTGGCTCAGGGCAGTCACTATGTGGCGTGCTAATCCTGGCAACCTCATCACTACACTCAGACGTCTGTATATAGTGTAGTCCTTGTCCCTAATCACGCTACTGTTTTTAATGGTGTACACTGTCAGTATGCTGTATGTAGGCCTATTAGTTCATGAGTGACTTCCAGCAGATTCCCACACTCAATGTTGAACCCATGTCATAAGGGCTTGTCATAATTGAACAACTCTGACATCTGTTTTGAATACATTGTTTGTTAGTCAAATGCCATTTCAAATAGTTTTATTTACAACTCTGGGAATTTTTTATTTACAACAATTGGAATGTTTTATTCACAACTCTGGGAAAGTTTTATTTAACTTGTATTGCAAATAAAATTTAAATAGATTAAATTTAATGTTGTAATTTATATTGATTTTTTTAAAAACATTTTTCAACTAGTTTCAGTTAATAGTAATGTGAGTAAATTTTCTATTATTTTAAATGAGTTTCTGTTATGCCTTATGTATTTGCTGTCATTATTAAGTAAACAAATTTTCACTTGTCAGCTTTGTTTCAGATGGACACTCTGGTAGATTGCACAAAACTCTATCAGGGATTGGTTCATCTTACCACTCATTGTTTTTATGTAATCATTCAATTATATAGTGCAGCCAGTGGCACGTTTCATAATAGGATTGACCAAATTGTTTCAATTGTTGCATCGGCCTCTGGCACTAAATACATCACAAATTTACCCCAGCAACTGAAGGTGTTTTTTAAAATATGTTACACACATACTTTCATACAGGTACTCCTTTTAGCTTTAAATTTCTTTTTGAATTGTTCAAAGAGACTTCTGCCATCTAAAGAATCACTATTATAGATCCTGTAATCATGATACAGGTGTTCTTATATCTCACGATAATGATAAAGGTATTTTATCCTGTGGGGTTTTATTTCTTCTCATTGTTGAAACCATATTATATATAAATTGATTCTGATGGTGTCTTTTTGAAATCATATTTCAATGAAACATTTGGTTCATCTCAGTGAGAGAAAAAAATTGGTCCCCCCCCCAATGAAAAATGTGGTCCTTTTCAATGAAACAATATATCTTTCTTAACAAAAAAAATTGTTGATCTCATTGAAGCATTTGTTCTGTTTTAATGAAACATTTGGTCCATCTGAAAAAACCCCACCAATTTTTACATCTCAATGAAACATTTGGTCCATCTGAATGAAACATTTGGTCCATCACAATATAACAATTGGTCCATCTCAGTGTAACAATTGGTTCATCTCAGTGTACCAATTGGTCCATCTCACTTACTGCTAATGTCTATTTTATTGTCCTAGGTAAACCCTGGAAGTCTCGCAGCCAAATGTGGGCTCCAGGTTGGAGATATCATCCTCAAGATAGGGAGTAGCTCCACAGAACATTTACGTCACAAAGATGCCCAGAGTTCAATCCTAGACTGTGGCAATCACCTGGACCTTCTCCTGCAAAGGTAGGCTAACCGATGTGTAGAGCAACAACATTTTATTTGACGTCTTGGTAGCTTCTAGCCAGGTTGATTTTTGGGTGATGGTATTTTGTGTGGTGCAGATCTTTGGAAAGAGTTTGCCATGAATTCAGCCACAAACCCTACATTCAATACATCCATACACTCATTACACCCACACAACCATTACATCCCTACATCCATTACACCCCTACATCCATTACATCCCTCGTGTGCTTTATTTTAGATTTAATTAAAAATCAAACAGCTTGAAACTATAATTTAGCCTACTGGAAACATAATAATAAACTAAAATAATAATTACAGAATGAGGTTGAAATTGTGAAACATTTTTCAGAGACATTGCTGGCTATTTGTGTCTTTTAAAACTTAGTATAGTAAAGCAGCTTTATTCTTAGACTGGTGAAGTGACTGAAAGCTACTGGCTGAAGCTTTTAGCCATTAGCTGCCAGATAACGGTTTTGAAGCTTTCAGTTCTTTGGTGTATTGATGATGGCATTAGCCCAAAACTTTGGTGTATTGATGATGGCATTAGCCCAAAACTTTTGACTTTGCATATTTTCCAATCATAATTAAAGCTTGACATATAGTGCCATATTTATAAAAATACTTAGTCTCACGTTAATGAAGCTTTTAGAGTAGGGAGCAATTTTAAAAAAGATATATATTTTTCCTGCCTGTCGGTAAAAAATACGCCCAATAAAATCTCAAGTTTTGACTTTTTGATGCAAGTATTTCTGATCATGTTACAGATTCCTAATCTGGGCCAGGGGCCGGACAATATTTTACTTACTCAATACAATTAGATGGACTGAATGAGTAGGATCTTGATGTAAATTGGAATTAGTATTTTTCAGGACATTTTGATTGGGACTTGGACTATATCAATATTTGGTTTTGTTGGTGATTTTTCTTGTAAAGAAAGCCAAATTAACTGTATGTTTTATTTGTATGTCAGTGTTAAATTTAGAGTGTTTTGTTGAACACAAAAGCCTAATCCAATTAGGGCGGACCAATGGAATCTCTTGTTACAACAATAAATATACTCAGTAGTGAGTCACCACCTGAGTTCAAGTGTGAGTCATGGATGTAAATGATATTTCTGTAACATCTGCTGGAGTTTAAAGGTGTAGGAAGTCTGCATTAAGTTACAGTCTACACAGAGAAGTAACGACTTGTCACATCTAATGAAGTTGTAGTTTTTTTATGTGGACACCTGACCACCTGGTCCTGTAATGCACACCGGAGGGCATCTTAAGTCATGAATTTAAGTGTTTAGGGAAATAGCTTTCTAAAACTGAATGTTTTATTGGTGCTACTCGATGAGTTCAAGTTCAGTTGAATATGGAATACACCAGAACTTGTTAGTCAATAAATTTCCCAATTAAACATCGGTATTATAGAAATAGAAAGTAGTAAAATTCATGAGCGGGTGATAATGAAAGAGGGCTGTTAAAAAATAAAATTAAAAATATGGATGTGGGGGGGGGGGTGGGGGGGCGCGAACTCCAACATAAAATGCAACCAGGCATCTTTTAGTGGGGGGGGGGGCGAACTCCAACATAAAAAATGCATCTTTTAATTTAAAATGTATTCATATACACACAAAAAAAGGACCCCCCCCCTCCCCCTGGCCTCAGAATTCACCTATGTTGACAGTAACAAAGTATGAGCTAGTTATTGATTATTGGTAATAACTTCTTTTAGGATCGATTCATAAAAAAATCAACTCTCATTCGCTTTACTTTCTGGAAGTTTGTCATTGGCTGTTAAATATGACAGGAACCTCGTTGAGCCCTTCAGAGTCAAGTGTTGGGGCAGATTTTTTGAAAAATGTAAAAACTAGTAGCTGCTATACCATCTCTGCTAACAACCTTTTAAAGATTAGTGTTCGTGCTGGTGCCTTTCGATGACGTCAATTATACCATGATTAATGTGGGTTGTTGTTTTTTTTTTTAATTGATGGGAATAGAAAGCCTCCACCACATATTCTTGTCCACGCCCAGTCAAAAGTCTGACAGGAAGCGAAGGCTTGACACAAGGAATAGAACTTACGTGAAAGCAAACACTCGTCAAGTGAGATGGGCTGGCCAAACAACAGCCGACTACTGTTCGTGTAGACACTAAACTATTGTAGGTGTTTGTAGTGCAGGGATTAGTAGGAATTAGGACTAGTTGGAATAGTATGGTTCCATTGGTATGAGCACACCATACCATGTAGTTACTTAAATGATTGTTACATAGGTGATTTTGGGGTGTTGTATTCAACTAATGGGAGTCGCTTAGTCAATTATTTTGTCACGTGATGTGAGTAAAAACGAGTAAGATTTCCGGTATACTGTATACAACACACTAGTGCTTGACAACAGTAGCCCGCTACACACTACAACTACACTACATTTCGTCCAATGAAAATTAACAATAAAATAAACAAAGGGGAATGACTCCTGCATCAATATTGAATAAAAACGCAAATGACGTCATGAGCACACACGGAGCTCAACAACATCCTGCCGATAATAGTATTGATAGTTCCCATCGAATATCGCTCACAAATTTTTCTTGAAATAACTTTCTTCCTTTAATTATAACTGACGTATATTTATTGTCACATTTATGTATTTCGTTTAAAAAACGCATGTATTCCAGAATGTTTTGAAAGGTAAAATTTTTAATTAACATAACATTGGGGAAGCACTGATGAAGTATCTTTTGTTGTGTGTAGCAGCCTAGTGATGGCTTACTCACATCACGTGACCAAACAAGGAAGTGACTAAGCGACTCCCATTGGGGGTCATCTAGTTAGATCACATCAATACGGATCGTGGTATCGATTCAATGGGCATATTATCGTTTTAATAGGCATCTTATCGATTCAATGGACATAGTATCGATTCAACGGGCATAGTTAGTATCATAGTATCGATTCATTAGGCATAGTATCATTCAATAGACACATGTTAAGAGCTTGTGACTTTGAGGGTATTAGTATATATTTACAACAATAAAAAAATCGAGGATGAAAAGTGCAACATTTCACATATTCTTCAATGGTTATGGCGTCACTCTCTCTGTGGACACTTAGACTTTAGACTGAACCCCAAACAAAAGGTGAAAGTGTCCTTTCTCCCAAAGCGCCCTGAAAAGTGTAATAGGTATGCGTAGGGGGTACTGTGGGTTTGAATGGACCAAAATAGCTCAGCCACCGTCCAATGATAGAGCTGGGCATGGCCCGAGCCACTCCGGTGTCCGCCACCAGGAACGTTGGGGTTAAGTCGATCCCCGTCATGTGACACTTTGAAGCCACTGACCCACATCAAGCAAACACCGGGGGTTCTCTTACCCATGAAACGTTCCCGCTCTACGGGAAACCTGGTCCACTTCTGTTTTGAATTTCAATGACTTGCGGACGGCGGCGCCCGACAAGCATGATCTCATAACGGGGATTTCATTGGATGGGAAGCTAAAGTGCGGAGGACCTTGTCACACTAATCAGAAATAATGAATGGGGTCCATGCAACCATTACTTTGGCGATCAAGACTCGTGTTTCCAATCACGTCTAGATAGATTTATTAACTGACCAATATTGGTCAGATACAAATCCAGTTGCCACTAAAATGTTATAAGAACACAGATACAAATAGGCCATATAATGTAATATATATATATATATATATATATATATATATATATAAATCTGTGTCTTAAATATGGATTAACAAAATTATGTATTTTATTAGTGACGAATTATTTTATTAGTTTTCTTCTCTCATAAATAGGCCTATATAGAATGTTTATATTTCCAATACATAAAGCATTTTACAATTATTTTTTTTAAATCAATAAATGGAATCAAACAGATGGGCCCTGAAAAAAAACAACACATGTATAAATAACAATCCAAAGGGCTTCTTCAAAGAAGGTGAAGACGGAAGAAAATTGATTTCGGAACAACTTAAGATGAAAGCTGACATATTTCCGGCACATACAAAAATTCTGTGGCAATGTGGTCTTCGACAAAAATAATCTAGTAGAAACAACTACGTCATCGAGACCTCCTGCAAATAACATCGGAGAAATTCGATCTCAATGAATAGCTTTTCTTTGAGCTAACTTGTCATATTATAATAAGCAAAGCAAATATTTTCACACGACTTATATATAGTGGATTAGTTGACTTAACAATATAGGGGTGTCATTTTTATATGACATCATTACACTGGATCATGGGCCGATAAGAATCGGTTGAGAATGGTTACACTTGGGTTATTTGATCAATTTTTCTTTTTTTTTTTTTGTGTTACCAGGTATTACTGTCTGCTTGGGAAAAAAACAACACCATCCATCATATTCATATATATATCTATATTGTTTTATCACTTAAACGAACCAAAGAATGCCATTATAATCAACAACAGAGCAAACAAAAAAACTGTTCAACTGTGGTTGACGTTCAACATTGTTGTGTTTCTGTGTCATATATTATATGTGGACGAACCCAAGTGCTGTTGGCTCTGCAGCTTTTTTTTTTCCAAAGCAGTGGTTCTCAACTATTTATATATGTATTTTGTAATGATATCTTTTGCTTTAAAAGCTTTAAGAATACCAGTAAGACTCTGTATTTATTTTAAGATTTGTTTTATTTAAATTTAACTAATGGCAAGGTGGTACTGGTTCTCAAATTGTTTGCGCGAACACACTAAAAGTCAAACCCCAGGAAAAGTTTCCTTTTTTTCCTTTGTAGGCCTCTAACTCTATAGCAGCATTTATTTAAGAAAATTCGGGACAGAAAATTTTTCAGTTAAAGAAATCACACCCTTGCTCGCTGTGTACACTCTTATCGTTGAGAACCACTGTCCATGTCTGCACACGCTGCAATGTTAAAGTTTAAAACAACACCACCACCAAAACTTTTCGTTGTTCTTCCTCTCACATCAAGAATAAGGGAGAGTAGCCAATCCAACGGTTGGTAAGTAACGCCATCTTCAAATCTGGGAGGATAATCCTTGTGTCGTGTTCTCTTGTACACTAGTTGTTCCCCCTAGCAACTGTGATGTCATGTGTTGCTGAACACTAGCTGCTGCCCGTCCTGTGACGTGTGTGGGTAGGGGGTGTCTTGTTCAGTTCACTCAGCTCTAGTGCAACAGCGCGTCTTGCTCGTTACCCCTAGCAACAGTTTTTGTCATGTGATGTAACGATAACTTGAATAATGTACTTTGGAATCACAATGTTGGCATCATCGCGTCATGATTGGTAGTTAATTATAGTTCATTCTTACACTAATATTAAATGGCTGTTATTTATCTGTTTTCTTTACTAACCGGTTGACAGTGGCGCAGCTGGGGGTTAGCTCCATCCGGGGCGGGCATAGCTCTTTTGCCGCCCCTCCTCCACGAAAAACAATGCGTGAGGCCGAAAATACCTTACGGGGCAGACCCCCCCCCCCCAACCTACGCCACTGCAATTTGACTCACAGTCACATTAGCCATTTCTAGGTTTGCATCTATATTGTTATTATGCATCGATACATTTATGTAGCATCTACATTTAGGGGGTTAGCTCCATCCGGGGCGGGCATAGCTCTTTTGCCGCCCCTCCTCCACGAAAAACAATGCGTGAGGCCGAAAATACCTTACGGGGCAGACCCCCCCCCCCCAACCTACGCCACTGCCATTTGACTCACAGTCACATTAGCCATTTCTAGGTTTGCATCTATATTGTTATTATGCATCGATAAATTTATGTAGCATCTACATTGTTATTCAGCATCGGTATTGCTATTCAGCATCGATATTTTGAATGTTGTGCAGCACCTATATATTGTTATGATTCTTTTAAAATGTACCATTATTGTTATGTGGCATAGATATTGTTTATGTAGCATCATAGTTGATATTGTAGCATCTTTCTTGAACATGTTTGTAGCAAGTAGACAATTAGATGCATGATTACTCTGAAGGATTCAGCGGGTATCGGAGTCGTTTGTTTTAGTTAAATTCCAGATTATGACTCCTGCGGGTGACTCATGGTTAAGATGGCGTGAAAGTCATTCGCCCCAAATCGGATTTATGTTACATAATATGTATCTTTGACTCCTCTTTGAGGGATGCATTACATTCGAATGACGGCATGGTAACGCCTCCTCGTCCTGTTATGTTTGGGGGAATGCACCAGTTGAAAGGTCACATTGGGTTCAAAGGTTATAGAACACATGCCAAGTTTAATCCAGCTCACATGCGCATGGGTTACAATGGCCTGTTTGTTGTTGACATGTCAAGGGCTGTGAGAAGAAGTAGGCTATAGAAGTATACTTATAATGTAATCACTGGATATAATCATTCGTTTATTTTATTATTATTATTGGAATGAAAATATTACCATTAAATATAATATTTAAAAAAAAAAATTAAATTATTAATGATGGTCGTTAGCTACAAGTGTTAAAATGATGAGATCAATTGAGCCATGATGACCACAGATAGGTTTCAACATTCAGTAGACCCAAGGGACCGTGAACATATGTAACACGAAGGGGGTAAGGGGTATCAATTTTTTTTTTTATTTTGTTATATGTGGGGAGGGGTAGAGATCAATGTGTTTATTATATAAGAACTCTTATTTTATTTTGATAAAAGTTAAATCTTATTTTTTGCAAAATTTCTGCTTTCCAAATTAACGAAATTATCATAGATTATTAAAAACTAAAATGTATTTTTTGCTACAAATTTTATATAATATTTGGGGGATGGGTGGTCAATGGGCACGTTCTATAACGTTATAAAGGGAGGGGTCGATCAAACATGACAAATTTTTGTACTGTATATGTTCACGGTCCATAAACGGGCAATTTAAAAGTTCTGCACTGCTAAAGCTATTTTTGGCACTGTCAGTTCCCACCACGGTTCGTATACCCCACATTGACGGCGAACGAGCCCTACCGGCACAAACACAAATGGCATTTGAAATAGTAGGCCTGGTGACGTCATGCTTTACCCACACACCTTATACTTCCCGCGTATGTACATACAGCCTTTTGTTAAATAAACGAGCCACACATGGCAAGCAGACACGTTCTTCCTTTTTTTTGTACAGAAGTATATTATATCCATAATAGTTTATGCACAAACATTAGTTTTCAGAAGTATTCAGTATATGTAGTTATGTAGGCCTATATATTCAAATAATGGTCCACATCAGTTCTTTCCCCTAACCATATCGTTTCTGTTCCACCTCACCATCTCAGTTATTCTGGCTCCGCTATATATAATATAATATATATATATATATATATATATATATATATATATATATATATATATATATATTAAAAAACACAAACACAAAGATAAACAGACATTTTGAAAAGTGAGTTTCTCTTGTATCTCTAAACTTCCATAGTGATAATTTATGTTAAGACTAAGTTACAGTCCACGCCGTGAGATAGCGGTCATTTCAACCTCCAACCTCCCCCCCCCACCCCCAACTTGGCAACTCGTCATCTACTGGCCCATGACTGAGTTTTGGTGACCGGTGGAATTCGTCATGCTGACGAGACTTGACCATTTGCATCAACAGTTCTCTGCTTTGTTTGAGGCCAAACGGGAAAGGGGGGGGGGGGTGTTAGACATGGGGTGTGTGTTCAGTCTGATATAAAGTGATAAGGGCGCCGCGATTTGTAAGCAAGGAAATGCCGACACTTGCGTTAAAAAAGTAAAAGAGTTAATTGAGTAAGCAACATGAAGGAACCGTGAATTGAGTAAGATGCGTAACACCAGCACAACAAAGTTGAAGACCGTCATGGATACAAGGACAATAATTTTTAGGCTCAGAATAATGGTAGGCACAACTACCGGAAATATCTCTATTTAATTTTAATCATGGCTCAAAATGCAAACAATTGTGTAATTTGAAATGACTAAGTGTATGGGCTGAAGTGACGTCACGCTGATGCTGGGTTTAAATAGATGCAGAAATATCCTGCTTTTGAGTAGCTGTGCTTCGTTCGTTTGAGTCTTTTGCAGACATTCTCAAACCATTGTGTGTGTTTCCTTGTTGTTTAAGTGTATGTATATTGAGCATATCCTCCCACAATCCTTTGCATTTTAAGCGGAGCAATGCTGGATGACGTCATTAACTTATTATGGTTTCGGTCAGCTCAGAAAAAAAAAGGGGGCGGGGGAAGATCTCGATGTGCAATTTTTTGATACAACCCAGTAGAGTAGCGCCCCTTTATTCGTCCATTACTTCATCATATCATCGTACAATCTTTGCTGCTGGCAAACAAACCAACACAGTGGTATGTGTGTTTGAAGGTGTGTGTGTGTTGATCCTGGCCAAACCAGTTTTTGCTACCTGGCATTATAAAGGGTGGCACATAGCCACATTTCAAGGGGGGCCTTTTTGACCTACTTTTCCTTGCCTGTGTAAACCGAAACAACGTATTTCCCTTAAAAATTCAAATTTAGAAGAAATTTTTAGTTTAAGAAAAAGGGGGGGGGGGGGTGGTTTTTTGGTTAAAAATAAACCTTTCATCAGTCTGTTATCTGCATGTGATATATGAGAGCATGTCAATGATCACTTTTATGTCAATGATTAGTCTCATAACCTCCATACCTTTTTTTTAAATGGGGATATCATGACACATAATGTACATACATATATTTATATATAAATTTGTGTATATATACATATATATATATATTTATAACAAATTCAGTGAACTAAATGTCTCTTTTAAAGACATCATACTGATACTATTCAATAGGTTTCTCACACTGGCGCTAAAAAGCTTAATAGCAGGTTTCTCACCCTGGCACTAACAAGCTTAATAGCATTTCCAGGAAATGTTCATAATATATGGAGGTTTTTTTATAGCTGAAAAAAAGTATTGATTTTTTCACTTCAAGAGATATATTCTATATTTTAGGCCAGAGGGGCCAACATTTATTTAAAAAACAGCTCCATACTTCCCTGGTTGGCTCAATGGTTGGCCCAGTGGTTGCCCCAGCTGTCTCACATCTAACATTGTTTATTAAACTTGTACTGAATATTATTTGGTTCCATTTTTTTGTGGGTTTTTTTTTGGGTGGGGGGGGGGGGGGGTACATTTTTTTTTTTTTTTTTTCTTTATAGTATTTCTTTATTTTCATCACAATAAGTTTGAGTGCAAGGGCAGATTACTTGTCAAAAACACATGCATTGTTATGACATAACTTATGATTTGTACTCACGTTGTCTCCCAGTGGACACTAACTAGCCAAGAACTGCAACTTGAGTCTGCGACTACAGTAAATTTATCATTTGTTTTCACTTTGTCTATCAAATGGTTGTAAAGTGAAATAGTGAAACTTTTGAGGACATGCATTTATGCGCATGAAACTGATCCTAAAGTAGCTAACACATAAAACATAATGATGAGCATTGGAATGACCAATATTTGATAAAGCCTATACAATTAAATGCAACTGAAAATATTGAGATTTAAAAAAAAAAAATGATTTTCAAGTTCCTTACAACCCAGGAAGCGATAAGATAATCTTTTTATTAAAAAATAATATAGACTGCAATAGCAGTTATGAATATTTTCATTATGCTTTTGTAATTTTAGATTAAACCACAAACAAATTTATCAAAGTATTCACTTTAAAAATCTGTTCCTAAGCTTAATTTATTTTAATCGATACACTGTATTTTGTGATTATTGTAGCACACGATATATTTTAATGTATTGATGAATTAAAACACCAAACATGTATTTTCTATTTCATAGGGGAGGCACACCAGGCTATGACAAGTTCAATGGTCCTCAAATTAACAACACATGGACACCTCAACCACAGAGTTACTCTGTACCACCGCCCCCTCCTCCTTCATCTCAAGTAAGACTTCGTTTTACAGAAATATGTTTAGACAATCTTGTTGCAAAACAATTACGGATAATTATTAAATTTTCTATCTCAAATAGTGTAGGCCTTAATGCCACAGTCTTTCGACTGATCTGGATATATCGGTCAGCAACAGACCTTTATTTTATGTTTCAATAATCTGACTCACCTTAGCTCAACCTACTTGACCATTTGATTGTTTTTTCCCCCATAGAACTTTAACACAGCCCCACGTCCTTTTGGTAGTCAAGCAGCTCCAGCCCGTTCCAACTATGAGGTCAACCTGTCTCAGCAAACTTCAAACTTGTCCTTGTCCAGGTACATATTGAGTACTTCATAATGGTTAATTCAGCAACTGTGTTCAGTTATAAGAAGGGCAGTCGCCATGACAATCAACCGGTTACAATAATGATTTATTTAGGGTTTCTAGACACTCTAGTCTAATATTTGATAACACATAATTGTTATAGACTCTTAGTAATTTTACTAATTAAAGTCACAAAAACTCTATGAATAATTTGATTATTGCATTTAATTAGACTTTTTTTTTTTTTTTTTAGGGTTAACAAACTGTAGATGGCAAAACCATGTATAAGTTTAAAAGATAAATTTAAAATATAACTTGAGTGCAAATAACTTTAACAGATAAACAGTTAAATAAAAATTTTTTTCAAGTAATTTATACAGCTCTAGAGATTTGTATCACACTTTTTTTATACTATCTTTAATGAAATTTTTTTTTTCTATATACCGGTACTCAATATGCAAAGATGTTGTTCTGTGGTGTCTATTTGCTCCTCCTGAAGTCAATGTTATTTGCATGTCAGTATAAAATTTGTCTCAAGTTCCTCAAGCATGCATCCTTTTTTTTTTTTTGACTTGTTGGTCTTTTGAGTGGTTTCACTCCCTAAACTCAACACATTTGTGGAGTGGTTTGATCCCATTAACTACTCCTTATTTATTGACACATCACTTTCAGCAGTGCTGGAACATAACTTTGTCCACGTGGCACATTTGTATAGGGAAAAGGACTTAACTATTGTGAGAGAAATTGTGAACATGTCTGTGTGAATATTTTAAATTTATTTTTATTTCTGTTTTGAAGTTTGTTAACTAGAGCTTATGTGGTTTCGTTTACTTCTGTCTTGTCCATTTCCCCTCCACTATTTTGTTAACCTTTGAACTATGACAGTGAACCCAATGAGCCCCCACCTTTCCAAAGTGCAGCAGAAAAATATACAGAAAGGGAAGATCCTCCAGACCCGGCCCAGAATCAGTCAAAGTCCTTCAAATATCTGGCCAATCTCATGGATGAAGGAAGAGGTAATTTATGGTAGTCACATGATTGGTCACCTGATGTATTCAGCGGTCTCATTTATAAGGAGGCTCAGAAAGATGCAAGAAAATGACCTAAGGATGATGGAAATTAATTCAAAGAAAAAAGTATTCATTTCTAAAGCATGAATTTAATTTCTTTTATTTCATCTGTAAAATTGATTTGTAGATTTTCTAATTTTTAAAAATCAATAGCTAAGTTTCCTAAAATTACATTTGAATGCAAGGCTGTCTTCGTACATCTTTAATTGGAGTCACTCTCTTTCTAAGAAGATTTAAAATGGAAAGTAGTAGATTCAAACCTGAGCATATATGATTGACTTATGACCTATTTGATGATGAAGTATTTATTAGAAATCAAATGTCATTAGTAAAGCTATAAAAACAAAAAAAGAAACTGTCTATTGACTTCATTTTGCATGATGGCATGTTTCTTCACCTAAAATATCCTTCTATGCTACCCATTTCAGAGCTTAACACAGCCCTAAAGCCACGGGTGGCTGCCACCACAACCACCACTAACAAGCCAGAACCTCCTAGGGGCCCCTCTCCTACCCCAATTGGTCCTAGTAGCAAGCCAGGTTACATCAAAGCTATAGTGTCCCAGAAATACAACAATCCAATAGGACTTTACTCCAATGAGAATGCCTCTACCCAATTTGAAGGCCAGTCTAAATTCCTCATCGAGAAAGAAGAAGAGTCTGGGTGGGTAATTTCTGAGACAGCTGTAACACTTAGATGATAATACAATATTTCAAATGTCTTACAGGGACATTTGAGTTTGAAATGGACATATTGCATATTGTGTTACCTCAGGACCTTTCTTAAATTCAAATTTCTAGCCAAGAGAAGGAAATATCATCAACTGATTAACAATATAATTTTTAACCACTAAACTTTCACTAGCTTTTCTCTCATATGATAAAAAAAATTTAACATATTTCTTTCATTTATAATTCCCATGAGAATATAATATAGTGTATGTAAAGATTTGAAACAACATTAGGAATTAATCTCATTTGATTTTATTATTATTATTTAGAAAAATGTTAAGAAAGTTATTAATTATTTTTTACTTAGAATTCTTATTTGTGCTTTAAAATTGCAACCATAATTCAGAGTTAATATTGTGAGTTATAGTGTTAACAGTCATTAATGCTTCTCATCTGATTTGTGCTACATTTGGTTATTGGGACATTGTACAAGTTATTCAACGAATGAATACGGTTTGCTTTATAATATAATTTTATATGCATAGAGTACCACCCCCATCCTGTTTATTAAACTAATGCAAAAATTTAGACAGAATGCATTCTCTGCATTTGTTGTTGCAAAGTATTATCAATGAAATCTGGAATGGGTTTTTACATGTTCTCTGCTTTTGATTTTGTTGGTTATTATGAATTAATTTGCAAGACCACTATTTGTGCAATATGTCATAATATTACAAGCATTCAATGACTTTCTGAATCTATTCTTTTATTATCTCCTCATCTTTCACTTACCACATGATTAGCATGGTGTTGTTTTCATCTTTCATTTTGTCATTCTTGTAATCTTCAGGGCTTCTCGATTTATCTGACTATCTCATTTGCATTCATTTGCAATGTATTAATAGAAGAAGTAAATAATTTATTCCTTTGTTGAATCATGAAAAAAAAACACACACACTTCAATTTGAAATTCTGACAATGCTGTTCCTACTACTACTGAAAGCTTAAACAATGTTTGACATTAAATTCTGTCTACCCTTATCCTAGTCCAAGGAAAACAAACCCCAAAGCTAGTCAATTAATAACTTGAGCAGCCCTGGATTCTGTAAGCATGCCATCATATATTGTGTTACGGTTTAATTTGATGTCTCTCTACCTATGCATGATTCTGTTATGAGCATCTTGCTCGTCTGACTTGTTTTCAGTAATCTTAAAATTGATGACCTCCCACCACCTCCCCCACCTGTTAATCAGAGTGACTATGATGAGATGGGTAGGAAAAAGTATGTCCCCTCTGAAACATTCCGCCTGGTTCAGGAAGAGGTGGGGCTGTTGCCCAAAGAGGACGAGCCTAAAGTGGCTCATTCCCGAACATTTAAAAAGTTGGAACAACAACTGAACAGGTGGGAAACAATTTGCGGTATCAGATACGTATGTTTCTCTTCCATGAAAACAAGGCTTATAACTTAAACAAGGCTGTTTAATGATGTATACTTCCTTTGTAATAGAAATTAATTTATCATAAAAAAAATAAATGGTGATTTTCAATATATAATTACAAGCCAGTAAAAAAAGAAACTTACAAAAATTAAATTATGAAACCTTAGAAAAATACAATTCTTTTAGGCAACAGATTTATTTCACAACAATTTCATTATCATAAAATAAAAAAAAAAACACAAAAAAAAACATTTTGTTATTAAAAAAATTTGCATGAAAACTTCTACTTATGTTTACAATTTTCTCTTCATGTAAATGTCTTCAACTGCTCATAGATTTTACTGTTAGTTTAGTTTTGCATGGTTGTGTTCTTTTTATTGTGTCTCATCACTGCCTTCAGTTTTGGCCTAATTAATGGGAAGCATTTGCTATTCCTAGAATTATTGTTTTCACCTGGTTTTTTTTGTTGCTACATTGGGTGCCTTGTTTGTGTAGAATGTTTGCAAAATTTGATCAAAATCTTTCTTATATAGTTTCTTTTACATTTTCTATCATTAACATCCATTTTTATCCATCACAGTGGAGGTGTTCCTTCTTCCTATGTGCCTCCATATAGTAAGTACATCTTGATATAATAATAATAATTATGTTCTAGAATATGATAGAAATTGGTATAAAAAAAAGTTTTTGAAGTTGAGTTAGGAATCTGTGATTCAGCACATTTATTTTTGTTCAAACATTGAATACAATTATTAACCATTGTTGCTAATGTAAACATTTGAATCTGAGTAGTATTAAAATGAATGGCAATTCAATTTCATTAAAAAAGTTGTGTAATATGTCACTGGTTGTTTTAATAGTATTTTAAGGAGTTGATGTTATCAAAATGAAATTATGAAACAATTTTGCATGTCGTTTTAGAGCCTGTGCCAGCGCCCAGCTACCAGCCTACACCAGTGGCTGCTCCTAGCTACCAACCACCACCGCCACCACTTCCAGTTTCAGCTGCTCCAAAACCCTGGGCCCCACCTACTCCAGTGACCAATGCCACTCCTCGACCATTTGGGTCAACCGCTGCTCCCAAGCCAACAGGCCAGGGTGCCACTAGGGGTAAGAAGGGAGATGCAGCCATGAACCCAGCCACCCTGCCGTCAGCAGGAAGAATCCCATTGTGTTCAGGGTGCAACATGCCCATAAGGTAAGGATTTGCAGAATAGATATCATGGATTTATTTACTTAATAAGATCTGAAGAATTATGCTGACCGCTACAAAATATTAAAGAAATAACCATCTCTTAAGTGACAGTAAATTAAAATTTTCTTGCATAGCTCTACTTAGGTGTGTGAGATAAAAATATATTTAGTGGTGTTATAATGTTTTGCAGATTTCATCTGTTTTAAGATTTGGCTCATTTGTTGAACAATATCATTATCAAAGAAAAATGATATTTACAATAATCAATTGAATTATACTATTCAATTTTAAACAAGATACAAAATCAAATAGACAACATTGAACACTATATTGACTTACAGCAAAGTAAGTGAATAATTATAATCCTTGAAAGATATTTTTTATTGTGTTCGTCCGTCGAAGTCGACAAGGACCATCGAATCATCCGGTTAGGGTCGGGCGGGGGGGTTGGGATTACGGTGAGCTCTTAGGTGGCTTGTTAGACCGATCCTTGCTCGGAATAATCTATGACACCGTGGGCATGGAATAGTTGCTTCAGACGATGACCTAATGTTGCTCTTTCGAACAAGCCTGCGTGTCTCAGCTGTGGTTATTCTCTTAGCTTCATGGGATTTAGCCCCCTTCTTGACAGCAGCTCTCCATCTGGCTCTGTCCTGGGCTGTCTGCACCCATTGAGTAGGGTTTATGCTGAAGGCCTTTAGTGCCTTTTTCAGTGAGTCTTTGTAACGCTTTCTTTGGCCTCCTTGGGAGCGCTTGCGTATCGTGAGTTCTCCAAAGAATATTTGTTTCGGGAGCCGGTGGTCTGCCATACAGGCTACGTGTCCCATCCAACGGAGCTGAGACTGCATCAGAGTTGTGAAGATACTAGGTAGGTTCGCTCTAGCGAGGACCTCGGTGTCGGGGACTTTGTCTTGCCACCTGATATTAATATACACAGACACACATAGAGAAAAATCTTCTCTTTTTTTTTGCTAGACTTCCTAGACACTTGACATTAATAGGAGCCTTACAAGATTTTACTCTTTGTGGGTGTATATTAATATTTGTATCTTTTGAGGATTATACTTTTTCACTTCTTATATGTCTAAGAAATCTCGCCAAAAAATCTCTTCTGGCTTGGAAAGCTGCTGGCTTATTTATATGTAGGGAGTTGGAAACTTCCAGAAAATAAATTTTAGAAATTGCATCACCGGATAGCATGATTAGCATTCTTTAGAACAGTGCTACCTACATATTTAATAGGTGTCATCAATTTTAAAACAAAAAAAAGGGGGAGAGAAGTGGTGGTTGCCTTATCTTTAAGTTGAAGTAAAATTAGGTCAACTCAAGGCTATAAGTGGTCAAAGGGAGATAAATTTAGATAATTAAATCAACTCATTATCTTTTAATAGTTATACATATGTTGTGAAGGTATGGAATCTGACCTTAGAAATAATAAATTGGCTGTTTTTTAAAATCTGGAACTATTTCAAAATGAAGGAGTCTTTAAAAAATATTTTTTTCAATAAGACTGATTGATGCTGTAATCTATCTTTTAATTATTTTTTTTTTTAAACTCAGAGGACCTTTTGTGACTGCTCTGGGGAAATGCTGGTGTCCTGACCATTTTACCTGTGCCAACCCCCAGTGCGGCATTAAACTTTTGGACATTGGTTTCGTTGAGGAAGGGGGGTTCCTGTACTGTGAGAGGGACTATGCTGTTCACTTTGCCCCACATTGTGACAAATGTGGCCGCGCTGTTATTGGGGTATGTTAAAAAAATATTTTAAATAACTAATAAATATGTGAGAAATAGGTGGCCTAGGGGACAGGCTGTCTGTCCTTAACTCTTTTGCTGCGGAATTTTTTTATCGAAAAAATGTGCATTATTTTTCGAAGAGCAAAAAAGAGGGAGAGATTGGGTTTATTAAAAAAATATTTAAAATATTATTTTTTGGTTTATAAGACTAAAATTGGTATCAAATGAAAGATAATTGAAAGTACTATATGTTTGTAAACTTATTTCTTCATTTTAAATAAAATGAATTACAGAAAAGAACCATAAAATGTGAAAAAATTGTATGCTAAACCATTTTTTCCCCAAATCCTATGATGTACGCATACATCATCTTCACCTCTAAAACTCAAATCCTCTAAATAGTCTACAACTACTACTATCGGAATCATCCGATAGATCTAAATATAAATCATCTTCACTATGAAATAGTATAAAACAATTTCAAAGCTTTTTGTGCTGTTAATCATCTACAAGGGCCGAGAGTAGCCATAGCAACAGTAGAATAAAATAGTGAAGAAAATCATTAAAATAATGCTTCAAATGACAACAAATAAACCTTCGTTTCGTTTATAAACAATGAAGTACCACTCTTCTATGTAAAAGTCTTATTTAAAAATAGCTCTTAAAAAGTTTAACCGAGAAATAGCAAAGAAACAAACATGATATTGAAACAACGCAGAGCCTGCTGGTCGTGCTTTTGAGCTCGGCAGATGAACGCAGTGTGCATTGTTAAGCAAAAGCGTTAAGAGAGTTGGCTAATTTACTTTCAAGAATACTAGCGAAATAATGTTGCTACTTTGGTTGATACGGTTGATATTAAAAATTATATCCTACATTTAGTATTACAAATCTTTTAAAATTAGCAGCGTTTCTGACATTTTCCTTCTGTACACGTAGGAGTGTGTCAATGCAGTGCAGAAGAGTTACCACCCTGAATGCTTCCTGTGTGCACAGTGCAAACAGCCCATAGGTGGCACCAAGTTTCACATTGAGGATGGAAAGTTCTATTGTGAAGCTGGTACTGTAATATAACTAATTACCTTTGCAAAAATGTTGTCTGGCTTATAGATAATAATACAGACCTGTTTACCCTCATACTCTTAAAATCGTACAATATCATCACAAAATTGTTCAATACGTTATCTTAATATTAAAAAACTTAACATACATTATATAATAATATAATGTATACACCTCAATACGTACATTGTACGTCAAAATCTAAAGAGTAAACAGGTCTGATAATATCAGTTCAAGCCCTGGAATTAAGGGACTCTTTACATTGTTAAATTTAGCATTAGAGACTGCTGATCTTAAATGATACAATGAATTAGAAAGAAAATTCATAAGTGATAAATAGAATTGTACAGGGCTGTAACAAAAAATTTTCATGCAAATAAGAAACTTCTAAGTGGACATTTTTTTAAAATGTTCAAGTGATGTTCTAATAAAGAAACATATTTTGCATTGTAACTGTAATAAATTAGGATGTACCTGGCTCAATCGAATTTCCATAATATAACTCTAGTTTTTATATTGCTTTGAAACCCCTGAGATAAGTTAGTGATTTCTAAAGAAATAATTAATAATAATATCTGACAAACATGTATGTTTTAGTACATTGCAATTAAAAAATAATATCTTTTGTATCTTCTCTCAGACTGGGCATCCATGTTCCAGACCATGTGCTCCGGATGTAACTTCCCCATAGAACCTGGAGACAGATGGGTTGAAGCTTTGGGAAAGAACTTTCACTCTGAGTGCTTTAACTGCGCAGTGAGTCAAATGAATTTTCTTGATAATTAGCATGTTTTGTTACTGTTGGTTCATCTGTAACCATTGATTTAAACTGTGCATTTTTATTTTAAAAATCATTTTTGTAACAATGCAATTTACTGTTAATAGTTAAATATACTAATTATTTTTAAACAGCATTATTGACCTACTACTCATATTTAAATATTTTTTAAAAGAAATGGAGAAATTTTTAAAAAATTGTGTAAAATTTTAAAAATCTGTGGAAATGAAGAATAGGGAAAAATTATTCTCTTAAAAAAATTTTACATTTGAAAAAGAATGTGTACATTAAAATGTATTACATTTGGTACACATTTTGGTTGCAATGGATCAAAGTGACCCAGCAAGTAATGTTTTAAATCACCATGTTGTACTTTTGTTATCTGTTCTCACATCACTGCTTGCAGGCTGATGTCAATTATGCATTTATATTATTTTATGTGTTGGAAGCAGATTTATCTTGATCCTTGCCCTCCCAGTTCTGTCCAACTAATTTTGGCTGACTCTTGTTAATTATTCAGTTTATCACTTTCTTCCTTCGACTGACAAGAAAAATGTGCAATAAAAATCTGTGCAAATTTTTTTTCTGTTATTAACATCCTTTTGAGTTTTTTCATGTCTTCAAACTCATGTGCGCATGTTTCTTAAATATAACAAGACAACTATTGATCAGTTCAGAAGTTTTAAGCTGAAGATAAATTCAACAAAAAGTATTTTATGATGGAAAGAAAATTATAGCAAATTCGTACAATTTGTGCCTTACCAAAAAAATTACTTCATAAAAAAAATATTTTAGCATTGAGCTTTGGTTTGTTGGAACTTGTCTTGCGAAGATTTTTCATGTTATTTTGGTCAAGTTTAAAGTAAGATTAAATAGAATATAACATTGTGCAACTGGCAGGATTATGTATACAACTGGCCATTGATAGTTGAGGGCTGTTAAGTTTCTGAGGATGTCCTGCCATTGTTAGTTGAGGGCTATTAAGGTTCTGATGTCTGGCCATTGATAGATGAGGGTTATTCAGTTTCTGATGATGTCAATTTTCAGAAAATTTAAAGGAAACATCTTGTCCAAATTGTATACATTTTGTTAGTTTTCTGTGGCTATTTGAATTTTTTTTAAAAATGATATCGGAGCCTATAAATGAACATTATTAAAGCTGTTAATGATTTGAGAACCTCCCATAAGGCCTTAAATGGGGTACACTAGAACTAACCCATGGGAAACCACTGAGACATAACACCACAGGGGGCTCCCCTTTCCCCAGACCCTTCCCCCTCCTTTTGCCTGGAGGACTTGATCACCTTCAATTTCTACTGATCTTTGGTGACACTCTGGAACTTCTATTTTTTGTTCCTATGAGGCAAAAATGTTGATTTCCATGCTGGTGCTGTGTAGTGTCAGAGGAGCGTGGAGTTTTCTAAATTTTTGCACTTGTGATGCAAAAAAAATGGTTTCCCTGATAGCGTTCTGGACAGAAAGAAAGACATATCTGGGCTTTTCTTATATATATTTTAATAATTTAAATCAGCAATGGTAAATAACAGACGATGTGAGGAATGATTTCTTTAAAAAAACAAAAGGGATTAAAAAAATGCAATTCTATTTTAGTTTTAAAAAATGGAACATTGTTAGCTGTGTTTAAATTTTGTCTTTGGAGATGCTTGTCAGCTCAACTGCGCTGCTGTGAAATAATCTATTGCTTTTTAATCCAATCCTGGTTTCTCTTCCCATACAGACTTGCCAAGTAAATCTGGAAGGGCAACAGTTTGGTGCCAAGGGGGGCAAAGCATACTGCAAGAAACACGCTCGCTAGAGACTCGAAGCCTAGGGGAAACAGATTATATTTTAGAAAGTTTGAATGACTTTGCTAGAAGTATATGATTACTAGACAAAGTAGCGAATGCCTTTAGGTTTGACTAGTCAGTATGACAGAGTTGTTGAGAATTTTTTCAGATCAAGTAGGAATGAAGGGAAATGAGCACTGATGATGCCTTAGTGTTAAATCAACATTTTAACTATAAGACTTTAAGTTTCTCACCAACAAAGTTAGTTGAACATTTTTGGATTGGTCAATGGAAAATGAATAGTCATATATGAATATGTAAATTATTTCTAGTTTAGTTGCATGAAAAAACTCAATGAATTCGGAACCCCATATTTCATAATACAAGTTTGCTTTGTATTTTAGAGTATTTTGAGACTGAGGCAAAGATATCACTTTTATCAAGGAGTGATTTCTCCTTTTCCCCAGCTGCATGTTAAGCCATTTAAAAGATTCACTTTTTAACATACCCTTTTAAAGTCAATAGTTTCACATCCTCAAAATCCTTGAGACAAGAGTATGTTTTTAACTTGTGACTGCATGGGGGCTTTTGTCAGCCTTAAGTCAAACTGTAATTAATGACAACCTACCCGACGTGTACAAAATATCTTGCGTGCTAGCTTTGTTGTGTGTTCAACAAGATTTATCCCATTTGTTTGTTCAGAAATAATTCTGTACCTGTTCAATAACGAGTCTTGGTGTGGTTGGCAAAATAGTTTCTTATCTTTGAGCTCTGTACATGCCTGGATATTCATAAAAGTATGGAACAATTTTTTTAGCATCTTCAAGCTCTTCTATGTAATAGATCTCCAGTTGTTGTCTTATCTCCAGAATATTTCTTAAAAGTGGGTTAATCTAAAAGGAAGCAAATACTTAACTAAAAAGAATAAAAAAGAACAAGTCTCAAAAAGTTTTTGGTGAAGGAAGTACACAATGTAAAAGGTATTAAACTGTATGACTTGATTAATAAGACATGACAAAGGTGAAAGGTCATAATGTTGTTTTTTGTTTGTTTATTTGTCGAACACTATCTTACATAGTTGTTGGAGTCTTTAGAAAGTAAATAACTTTTTTGTCAAGCACAAATTGTTGTCACACCTGTTGTCTAATAATGGGTTGTGTCTTTAAAAAAACAATGATATCATGTAAGCATGTCAGTGTACAACATGGTGGAGCATTTTGTCAGTGAAAGTTTGTGTGGTAACTTTTTTAAGGCGGGAATTTCTATAGAGTGGAAATAATTGTGTGGTTTCTTTTTTAAAAAATGAATTGACCTTTAACTCAATAAGGCACACTAACCAATCATTTAAGTTGGAGACTTGGTTATTTAATAGTGCTCAGTATTTCTTTAGTCTCATATATTTTTATGTGCCCACTTTGAGAATAGCGTATTAGATGGCATGTGAAAAATTCCTTACTGAATCTTTCATCGTAGGGTCATGAAAAAGAAGAGCTGTCGGCGTGTCCTACTTGCATATCATCAATGTACTCAGATATATCAATGTTTTTAGTTTAGCATAAGTACCAATACTAACATCTCATACAAGCTTGTTTAAATTAAATCAATAAACTCTACTATATTGTCATAAATTTGGAAACTGACTATGCATTAGTTACTGCTGTTAGATGTACCTTCAGTTTTATATATTAAATGTTGATGTCAGCAGTTATCTTGTATCACTAGAAAATGTTTTCTTTCTCTCCAGTACACTTTTGAATCAACTCCTCCTTATAGAGTTGTCCCCAGGGATTGCTTGTAGACAAGGCTTCCAGAGTTCTTCCTGGTAACCATCAACATTGTGTCTGACTTGTGATATACACTACAGGCTTCTGTGTCTTACTTGCTCTACACATTAAAGGCTGTTGTGTCTTACTTGTTCTACACACTATAGGCTGTTGTGTCTTAATTGTTTTACACACTACAGGCTGTTGTGTGTTACTTGTTTTACACACTACAGGCTGTTGTGTCTTACTTGTTCTACACACTGAAGGCTGTTGTGTCTTACTTGTTTTACACACTAAAGGCTGTTGTGTCTTACTTGTTTTACACACTACAGGATGTTGTGTCTTACTTGTTTTACACACTATAGGCTGTTGTCTCTTACTTGTTTTACACACTACACTCTAAGGCTGTTGTGCCTTACTTGTTCTACAATCTAAGGATGTTGTGTCTTACTTGTTCTACACACTAAAGGCTGTTAAACAATATTATTCATACAGAGATAACATTTATAAAATACATCTTTGTAATATCAGTTTCATATCATTCACCAGAAGCAGTTTGAATCTTTTGGTGACCTGTTTATGTTGCAGTACACCTAACTGTCCTGTTGCCAGAAGAACATTAAAAGTTAAAATCTGAATTCTGTTTTTTTTTTTTAAAACAACCAAAAAAACGCTAACAAATATCCATTTATTGAATCACAATCAGTCATAATAACATCTTTGGAAATCAACTGTTCTATAAGGCTATTTAATAAATAAGGATACAGATTGTTGATTTGTATTGAGTATGTATTGCTTCTATATTTATATGACGTGTTTAAACTGAAGATGTGTAAAAATAATTCACTTTGCTTCTGTCTTTTGCCTTATTCTATTAGCATTGATGAATGATAACAGAAATAGAGATTTTTTTTTTTTAAATTTTATATCTCTACAAAATAGAAGCAAGAATTTTGTTCAATCACAAATGTTTATTTTTGGTGGCATTTTAATCCAACCCTAACTTTTGTTTCTTCCTGTTCTTGACTAATGATTACCAGTTGGAAAACCTGTGATACTGAGATTCTGTGTGGTCGTGTCTGCTCTACATATCCTTATCTTGTGATCAAACGTGTGTTCATGTTAGACTTTGAAGTATGTTAACTTATGAGTATGACACTTAAAATATGTATGCCTCAGTACATCCTGAGGAAGAGATGTGAGCCAGGAAAATATAGTATTGAAATCTATTTGATAAAAATCTTCAGAAGAGGCATTGAGGCTATTCAATATTATGTGATTGTAGATCAGATGTGTCAATAATTGGCCAGCCACCTTTTTTTTTCCTTCAAGTGTCCACCTACTGAATTATTAATTTGTATTTTTGAAGACCAGCTCACTTGGGCTTAATGTGGGGAGCTTGATGCATCACCTGCAAATGCCGTTAAATGTGGAGGCCAAAACGTAGCATCCACATGTTTAACATGGGAATAGATCTGTAGCAAATCTTGACTGAGGCCTCAATAACACTGAAGTTATTGTTATTTAGAGATCATCTGTTATAGGATAGGAGTTTATCCGTTTTTCTTAAACTGTCGTCACGTTGGATTGTTAAAGTAAAATTGTATCTATATTATTTTTGTTACTACAAGTTTAAGGAAATGTTCGCCTTATTTTAATTATACTATTCTATTTATAATGTCTCTACAAAAGAAAATTTGAATTTGTTTTATTTGTAAACAAATTCTAGAAATAACTTAACTTGTAAAAAGTTTATTTTGATATAATATACCAATGCAACATATGTATATTAAATGACAATATATTTTAAAGCTTGATTAAGGAGCAATTTTGATCTGTACGTCATGTCACAACAAACTCTTTTCCCTCTTAAACCTGTCCTAGTGCCCTACTATTTAAGAGATCTTTTGTTGTTTTAAATATTTGCACTCCTTTAGAGCTTTTTTGTGCACACATGATGTTGACACTGAATCAATCAATAAATATTCTTATAGTGTACTGCTGTTATAGACACCTCATTATTGCCATGTACGACCCTCTGTCTACTATGTCACATGTCCTCACTTTGTACAAGCCTCTTACTTTGTAACATGTCCTCATCTTCATTATACCAGGTATACAAAATATGACAGAAAATTTGTGTTACTTACAAACTTTTATTTTAAAAAGAAAAGCAAAAAAGGGAGAATGTGCCTTTTATAAAATAAAAATTCCTGCATTTTAACAATTCTAAATGTTAAACTATTTGGTCAATAAAATTGTCAGTGTAGTCATAAATGCCTGAAATAAAAATTCCTGCATTTTAACAATTCTAAATGTTAAACTATTTGGTCAATAAAATTGTCAGTGTAGTCATAAATGCCTGAAATAAAAATGGTGTTTTAATATGTTGACATAAAATGTTGGGTGAGGAGTAATGTAAACATTGCTGATTAATGACTTTATAATTTTAACAAATACAATATGGATAGGTTACAGGAGGAAGGGGACATAAGCTAAACCTGGTACCTACAAATACAATTGGATTCCCATGGGCAGGCACCTATTAGCTATATCAGTGTTACTGGGACTGATGTAAGATAACATCTGCACCTTTCCACAAGCCCTCATCTGAATTATTGTCTTAGTAACTCCTCTGTCTTTTACACATAAATGCATTTGGTTATTATTAGGTAGTGATATCCCCTTATCTAAGCCAAAGCTTTTCAAGGCCTTCAAAACATATCATTTGTCCAAGGTTTCATTCGTGAAACAAATAATCATACCAATCAGTGCACCAATAGTCCTACCAATCAGTATACAGATAGTCCTAAGTACACAAATAGTCTTACCAATCAGAGCCTCATTTTGAATGAGCTTGTGTTGTCCTCACTCCGCTCAGTCCCTTAAATTTTGTGCGACTTGTTGATTTATCTCCCTTAAGTTCAGCAGCATGCATCTCAAATGTAACCAAAGTTTGGAACGCTGATGAGAATTATATCATTGATCTGCCAAAATAAATTTTGGGCCAGGGTATGGGAGATAAGAAAGATCTGTGACACTACCTTTGTATTTGCATTGTTAAGGTTACTTGCAAATATCATTTCTACTTCTACAACTTGATCTACAGCTGATAGTTCATGTTGCCTCAGATTAAATCTGGAAAAAAAAAAAACCTTACTTTTTCTATGTTAAAAAACATGAAATTTCTTTTCATGTTGCGGTGCTATAATATATCAACACTGTGTAAAATAATTTTACCATTATATAAATTACATTATGTATTTATTCTTTCTTTCTGTTCACAATAGCAACTCATGCTGCCTTCTTTTTATATTTAAAATGAATTCATTAGATTCTGAAATAGGTCAGAGAAACCGTAATAAAGTTAGCTCCCTTTATGAGAACTTTCTTTAAAGAGTTTGTTTTACACGTTTTCTTTTGTTACTGTTGTGTAACAAGCTGGAAATGACCTTGACATTGAAAGCAGCTGATGATAGGGGACCGCTAATTGAGACGAAAGCCATGGAACGATTAGATAAGATTCTTTTATTGATCAAAATAAATGAAAATGTTTTTTTGATTACAATGCACTTATTTATTTATAGCATAGAAATAAATACATTTTTTAACCTTGACAACATTTTATAATTGTAACGATTTAAACACAAGATTTCTAAATTATTTCTCTAGTGTAGAAATCAACCATCAATAAACTGCCTAAGTGACAATAATGACTTTATTAGTGATGAATTAAAAAATATGGCTAGTTGTATGAAAACAGTCCATTTGTCGCAGGCCAGAGTTTACCATCAGGTTTTCTTCGGCTATATCTCCGGGGGGGGGGGGATTTAATTAATGTTAGATGGGACACTTTTTCCAGGTCACTACACTTTACTGAGACCTTAACATGCCTCAAATTTGAAATACCCGATAATTTTAATCTGTACAGATCAAGCCCAGTAATAGTCTGACCTAGGCCTTCTGATCTGTACAGATCAAGCCCAGTAATAGTCTGACCTAGGCCTTCTGATATGTACAGATCAAGCCCAGTAATAGTCTGACCTAGGCCTTCTGATCTGTACAGATCAAGCCCAGTAATAGTCTGACCTAGGCCTTCTGATCTGTACAGATCAAGCCCAGTAATAGTATGACCTAGGCCTTCTGATCTGTACAGATCAAGCCCAGTAATAGTCTGACCTAGGCCTTCTGATCTGTACAGATCAAGCCCAGTAATAGTATGACCTAGGCCTTCTGATATGTACAGATCAAGCCCAGTAATAGTCTGACATAGGCCTTCTGATATGTACAGATCAAGCCCAGTAATAGTCTGACCTAGGCCTTCTGATCTGTACAGATCAAGCTCAGTAATAGTCTGACCTAGGCCTTCTAATCTGTACAGATCAAGCCCAGTAATAGTCTGACCTAGGCCTTCTGATATATACAGATCAAGCCCAGTAATAGTCTGACCTAGGCCTTCTGATCTGTACAGATCAAGCCCAGTAATAGTATGACCTAGGCCTTCTGATATGTACAGATCAAGCCAAGTAATAGTCTGACCTAGGCCTTCTGATCTGTACAGATCAAGCCCAGTAATAGTCTGACCTAGGCCTTCTGATCTGTACAGATCAAGCTCAGTAATAGTCTGACCTAGGCCTTCTGATATGTACAGATCAAGCCCAGTAATAGTCTGACCTAGGCCTTCTGATATATACAGATCAAGCCCAGTAATAGTCTGACCTAGACCTTCTGATCTGTACAGATCAAGCCCAGTAATAGTATGACCTAGGCCTTCTGATCTGTACAGATCAAGCCAAGTAATAGTCTGACCTAGGCCTTCTAATCTGTACAGATCAAGCCCAGTAATAGTCTGACCTAGGCCTTCTGATCTGTACAGATCAAGCCCAGTAATAGTCTGACCTAGGCCTTCTGATATGTACAGATCAAGCCCAGTAATAGTCTGACCTAGGCCTTCTGATCTGTACAGATCAAGCCCAGTAATAGTCTGACCTAGGCCTTCTGATCTGTACAGATCAAGCCCAGTAATAGTCTGACCTAGGCCTTCTGATCTGTACAGATCAAGCCCAGTAATAGTCTGACCTAGGCCTTCTGATATGTACAGATCAAGCCCAGTAATAGTCTGACCTAGGCCTTCTGATCTGTACAGATCAAGCCCAGTAATAGTCTGACCTAGGCCTTCTGATATGTACAGATCAAGCCCAGTAATAGTCTGACCTAGGCCTTCTGATATATACAGATCAAGCCCAGTAATAGTCTGACCTAGGCCTTCTGATATGTACAGATCAAGCCCAGTAATAGTATGACCTAGGCCTTCTGATCTGTACAGATCAAGCCCAGTAATAGTATGACCTAGGCCTTCTGATCTGTACAGATCAAGCCCAGTAATAGTCTGACCTAGGCCTTCTGATGCGGAAAGATTAAGCCCGGCTATAGTCTGGCCTAGGCCCTTATTTCATCCTGACAGGGTGTAGCTGATGGCTCGGAAATAGCGGTTCCTATCACCTTTGGTTTTATATATGTGCCATTGGTTGCCTCAGGTACCTTGTGTGTCTATGGTACGCAACCGCAAGGCCAATACTGGTGCTAAAATACTCCCCTCCTGAACTTGGTAGAAGTTGAAAGTCCTTACCTGCTTGTGTGTCTGTCAAATGTAGATATCATCATTGTCTGTTTTTTTACGTGGTCTTTTTGCTTTCGTTGGCTTGGGACTGTCACTGGCAGAGTCAGTGGGAGAATCCTCAGGGGTTTTCGGGGGGG